TACATTATTTAGGATTTTGGCACTCCTCCCCTTTTGCACTAGCAAATCACAGTATGTACTTTCCTATCAAGCTACTTTTGACTTATAAAATAGATGATATATTTTGTACATGAATTAAATTCTTCACGCTACCAGAGGAATTAATTTGTACCGTTATGAAATTTTGATTAGCCTGCTGTAAAATCAGAATTGTTTACCACAAGTGTCTGAATTCTGACTCTTACAGGCCTTCCAAACAGATAATGAAATGAACTGGGGGGGGGGGGGCAGAGTAATTTATGAAAACATGGTACACCATAATTTTGCCATTTTTCTGCAATAAGGATGGCAAATGATTCATGGGGTAAAATGAAATATTTCTCACTGTCATTTCAATGGATCTAAGATTTACAGCTTCTTAACTTGGATAGGAAAAAACTCTGTATGCATAAAAATGAATTGTAAATCAATTAATGATGGGGATAAAAAACAAAAATGAATTGATACTGAAGCAAACATGAGAAAATATTCAAAAGAAACAAAAGATCAGAAGCGACTATTTACTCTAAACCTTTTGTGGAAGGAGGTAGCAGGGAGGAAATTCTTGGCTTAAAAGAAGGCACTAAGTCCAGTTTAAAAAAAGTCGTCTGCTGACTGGGTTCATTACATTTAGATCACTTAGATAAACGATAAGGAAGGTTTTAAAACAAAACAAGGTATGTGTAAGTTTGATTTTAAAAACCAGTAAAAAAAAAAATTATAGTTTAAGATTGGAACAAATAAATCCTGTGACTATGAAAATCCAGCCTTTAATGCAAGATTTTAGTTACCAGAACTCTTCTAGGCCCCAAAGCTGAAACACACACACACACACACACACACACACACACACACTCCCAGCTGCGTGACACAGTGAAGGGAAGCAGCAGTCAAAGAAGAAGAAAAGTGAACCCGGGATCTGCAGGAATCCTTCTATCTGAGAAATGAGATCAGGGGTGCTCTGCTTAAGACACAAAACGGTGGACTCGAATGACTCAGAAACGGATGGAACCAGCTGGACCACGTGTCATGCTCTGAAATCCACAGTCGGTACCATGAAATATGATATGTTACATATGGTCGTAGGATGCATACCTTCACCTCCCTAGATGCAAGCAACTCAACATAAATGCAGTGAACGGAGAACTCATGGCAGGGTATAAGCCACACGATCCAACGCCAAATGCAGAGAACAAGGATGGCCCTGATATTTCTGCTATGCAGTGTTTTGCTTAGATCACATGAATCTTTTCTGACTCAGGTACTTAACAAAATGTAAGAATATCGATTGATTTTTGCCAAGTTACCAATAGCTGCCTTAGCACAGGACCTACAGGACTATCCTATCCTGGCTCATATTTATCATGTTCTGTGCCTGTATTTCACAAGTTAGGTAGCTAATTAGAGACCTAAAATACAAAGTACAGGCACAAAAGACTCATCATTTTTGCCTCCTCTACAGAAATTCTCTCATTATGGGAGTGCCAGCTTAATTTAAAACTTCTGTTGTTTTCTTCCTTCTTGAGTCACATGTTATCAGGTAAAATGTGACACCAGTTACAATGCAGTGCTGACGAAGAGTGCAAAATACTGATGCCAGTATCATAGTTCCCTTTTTGGATGACCATAAATTTCATCCATTTTGAAAACTGGGAGCAATATTTTGACAAATTTTGTGTTGAGAAACTTTAAAGTACTACCAAATTTGATAAGCTAGATCAATAAAAAAATGTTTCCACCTGCTATGTATATTTCTTTTCTTTCCCCAAGCACTGAACAAACAGTTCATTGTTCCAAGTGTGTCTGGGACCTATCGCTTTGGGGTATTCTATACACTTTCAAAGGACCTTCAGATGCTCATGCAAGCCTTTGCACATGCAGAACCTGGAGGAAGCCCATCCCTAAACCACGAACGGAGAATATGCCCCATGTACATGTGTAAATTAAAACTCATAAAATAACATGGGCATTATAAAATTTGTGTTAAAACTGATAACAGCTTTACTGATTTACTGACAATGAAAATATATAGCATTTTTTCTGTCAGAGCATTTATCAACACTTGGCAACCCCGCACTAACTTGACATGTAAGATGATCAAAATGGATTATGTAATCTTTCCCATTCATTTCTATTGATTTTAGTTATGATAAAATTCATCAGTGTGCCTTGGAACACTTAGGCTGAAAGGCTCTAGTTGACTGGGCATTATAAAATTTGTGTTAAAACTGATAACAGCTTTACTGATTTACTGACAATGAAAATATATAGCATTTTTTCTGTCAGAGCATTTATCAACACTTGGCAACCCCGCACTAACTTGACATGTAAGATGATCAAAATGGATTATGTAATCTTTCCCATTCATTTCTATTGATTTTAGTTATGATAAAATTCATCAGTGTGCCTTGGAACACTTAGGCTGAAAGGCTTTAGTTGAAAAAAAAAAAAAAAAAAAAGGAAAGGAAAACAAGAATTCAACTGAACTGTAATAGGATGAATGTAATTTTAGAAAAGGATTGCACAAATACAGAAGTCTTGCCCTAAAGGCTGCAGCAACAAATTAATACAAATAATTCTGGCAGTATCATAAAATTGTATCTGTCTACACAGATATTTCATTTTTGAGATAAAATTACAAACTTCCGAGCTAAAAGAATTAACATGTAAGTGTCCTTAAAAATATAGTTTGTGAATATATTTTCAAACTTTTTTTTAATACTTCAACAGTAATCAAAGTTATCTGTCTGACTGTAAGTAACATCAAACTGCCAGCAAATGGACCATTTTAATCAGTTTTATTGATTCATGCTTTCAGTTCTTATTCAGTTAAAAACAAGGCACATTAAATACATCCTCTTATTGCTCTATAAATGCATGCAGCTCATTCTGTATATCAAAAGTAATAAATAATGGCGGTAAAACACCAAGACAGTTATAAAAATGACAACCCAGCCTCAAACATAGTATTTAACAGTCCAATCTAGAACAATAACCCAACACAATACATAAAAGTGCCACATACAAAAACATGCAGTGTGTATATCTACCTCAGTCCTGGGCTTATGCTCGCTATTCTTTAAAAACATAGTAGGGCATTTCTACTCCCTCAAAAAAGGTTGACATGATGCAAAACAGTGCAAGTTACAGTGTCATTGATTTCAATATTATTACATTCAGAGGCCAAAATCTTCACAATTACATAAAAAAGAGGCAAATAAAATCAACGATAACCCTGACTGTGCATTTAGTAAAAGTCAAATTTTTGTTGTACAAAAAAGGAAGCTACGTATTTCAAAACAGACCAGACAAAGCCAGAAACTAAAGCAGAATAGGGAGCATGCATTTCACAGTAGAAATCCCAAAGTTATACTCAGTATAAACTGACTGAAAGCCAGAATATTGCAAACAGCATGATGTATATGAGGCAGACAATGTTGGCTTAACACCTAATCCAACATTATCACTATTGTTAAGACCGTGGTGGGGCCTATTTAAAGGAGTGTCCAACTCTCCAGCACAGATGAGGTTCCTTCACCGGAATCCCCTTAAAGGCTTTTGAAAGAAATCACTCGATGATAAAAGGCAATTCCTACACATCTACTCCCATCCTTCCCAAATCAACTATTATCACAATTACACAAAAATAAATAATCTTTTGTGCTTGGAATGGGTTTTGAAAGGGCTTATTCCCCTGTTTCTAGGCTGAACAGATTTAATTAAGAAGTAACACAAAAATGCGGGAGTGCTTTGTTCACAGTAGCAGTTTTGAAACCAATTCCCTCCCAAAATGAGTCTCTGGGATTGGTGAAGGAGTATTACGTTTCAGAATTTTCAAATTTTAAGCAAAAGCAGATATGCTCCAAAAAGACAAGTGTGCTTTTCTTTGTCTTTAAAAGAACTTCACTCAAAGCAAAACGTGCACACACAAGGCCTGTTTCACAAACACAGATCTGCACAGGCCAGTCACATTCTAAGCCCAGTCCCTACTGTAACAGAATCAGGGAGGACACAAGTCATCATTATCTGGTTCTAACTAGAAAAACAAAAAGAGAAAAAGAGAGAGAGCACAAATGTATGATACTGCGGTATATCATGTACGATGTTTTAAACGACAACTCTTCCATCTATTATGTGTCTCTAGGTTGTAAACACTGATACTTGTCTTGATAGGAAGACACTAGATTGCAAAGTGCTGCATTTCCATTTATTTGAAACAAGATAACAAAGACCAGTATAAAAAAATGCACACTTTGAAAAAAAAATTCATGGTGATACTTGGGACCAATACTTGCTCTTTTTCAGGTTTTACTTTAGTGGCAGGTGTCTAAACCCCACTTAAAAACAAAATGAGTTAAGATGCTTTGCGGTTTTCATTTGTTTCAGAGGTGGTTCATGGGGACTTAGGTGAATGAATCCCCAGTGTTTGCTCAGAACCCATTTGAATGAGACGTAAAGACATTCTACAATGATTACATCCAGAGAAGTAACAGGGAAAAGTGTTTTATGTACCAGTTTAAAAAACTAAGACCTCACTTCGGTGCAATGGAAACCTGCCACGAAGGGAAATGTCCCATTTCCTATTACATTCAGAACTTGATCTTAAAAGCCAAAAATGTAGATAGTAAACTTCACAAGAATAAGTACAATTAACAAATTATACAGGTGGCTAAAATGCCACCCAAAATATGGCAAAAGCATCCCAAACTATTCCTTTAAATTCAATGCATTACTTAAGTTTCATGCACAATGGCTGCTGTTTTGGTTTTGTGTCTGTGTGTGTATGTCTGTATTTGTGTTGTGTTTTTGTTTTGTTTTATTGTTATTTTTGGTTGATTCAGAATTGTTCCATTGAGTACAGGAGGAAAAAGGCTTTAAATAACCAATGACTCATGGTGCTCATTTTACATATAATTTTAATTCATGTTAACTACAGTCTATTCTACCTCCTTTTGCTCTCTCTTTGAAAATACAAAATAGGAAGACCCAAAAAAAAAAAAAAAAAAGATAGACCAGGTCTAACAATACCACAAGTTCAACAATCTAGGGTTTGGGGGTTGAAAAGTGTATTCTATATGTAAATATATAAAAACATGTTTTTAACCCTTAACAGTATAGTTACTGTAAAAATTTGAAAAATTTGGTCTCATCTCATTACACCCAACTTGCCACTTAAATGCTGTTTTTAAACTAAGAAAAGCGAAGATCTTTCTGGCAACTATAATAGTCAAAGAAAACCAGCAGAGACTTCCTCAGTCTCCGAGGGAAAAAAATGCATTGCTGAGTTGAAACTATCACTTAACTTCCAGCAAATGTCAACGCTATCCTTATCTTATACCTGTGATTCTGGAAGCTTTCAGAGTTTCTCTTTGATACTCGTGCCTGTAACCAGATAAAAAACTTTTTCTTCCCTCTCCCATTTTGCCAGTCACACTCTAGATGTAAAATTGTGCATATTGTTTGGGTTAGGAATGTAGACATGGTAGAGGAGGAAGGGGCTGAGAAACTTCCAGAAACACTATCATTTCAATGGGTCACTTTCTAAGAACGAATCCTATCTACAAGCTTAATATCAAGAAGAATCACAAAAATTTTCTAGCTTCAATTTCTGTCCACACTATCTGCCTCTAGCACTGATTTAAAATGGATGAATAAACAAAAAGGAATCGTGTCAAGTCTAACAGGTCACAAAATGGATGCAAATATCAAATCAATGTGCACTGAAATGAGAAAAAAAAAGATAAAATATACATTTTAGAAGTTAGAATGAATGGCAAATACAAATAAAGTATCAGGAAATAAAGTTGGCAAACACACCAACATCCTAAAGTTGCGGAATGTTTTCCAGTGTTAAAAAGGCAGCATCCATATCCACTATTTTACAGTGGTTTAAGTCATCCCTGGTAGGTTGCTACGTGGTGATTTGCTGTTCCTGTGTTTGGTGGCTGTGGATTTACTGCTCAGACTCACAATCCTCCACAACTCCGGTCCACCGGAATTGGAACTCTTCTGTCGAGGTTCTCTTCAGCAGTTTTCATTAGTATGGCAAGCCGGCTTCCAGACACCCTTCCTTTCTGAATAGCACTCATCAGCTTAAAGAGAAAACACGCGAGAGAATCAGAAGGCAAGCCAGCATACCTCCGTCATGGCGTGCCAGTGGTTCCCTTTGTGGCACACAGAGGAAACTACGAGTCCCATCGAAGGCCTCAGCCAGTATTACAGCTCAAATAAAGAGTACAATATTTGAACCTTTTAAAAAGAGGGGAAGGGGCAGCTATTTTACCACTGCTGCAAAAATGACATCTTTTTAACAAATCAGCCTGCTTAAAAAGCGCATCACCTTTCGCCTCTTCATGTGCAGGTTCTCAGCTCTTTTCTTCTTCTTTTTTTTTTTTTGGAGCAACTTCAAATATTGAATATTTAATTCTATTTAAAAACCTTAGAAAGGAATCTCAGGGATTGAACAAAGACAAACTATGACCTACATTTAACTACCCCTTTTTAGAGTTATTGTACTTGACAATTTCAAGTCCCTTAAATCCAAATTCCTTAAAGACTTTTTAAGGTAATTTATATTTAAGTCCTTGAAAATGGACCCAGAGATCTACCTTAAGAATTAAAAACACTCCATAGCCCAGATTTTAGCTAATTCATTTTTATCCAATGGATAAAATCAGAATTAGTCTTGAAATTACATGCAGTCAGTGGGCAAAGGCCTTTAATCTGGAAGGCACTTTGCAATTATGAGCATGGGGATTTTTTTCCTTTTCAAGTTGATGTGGTTTTAACTATTTGCTTTTCTTGATCTCACTTCCCCTAGTCTTTTTTATTTACTTTTAAAAAAATCAGATTTAACCATTCATCAGACAAAAATACGCATATGAAAAAATTCTCAAAATATTTTTAGGACTACAGTTTTTAGCCCATAGAAAAAATACATTTCTCAAAAACAGCTCTCAATAAGAAGTCAAAGACATCTGCCAACGAGCTAGATCAGAATTTCATGACCTTATTAAAAGCTGTTTCACAAGCTATTGCTTATTAGAGATGGACTCCTACATGCAGAAGTGTCATTAAAGTCCAAATCTAGAAGTAAAGTCATGTAACCATGCAATATCTATACTGATCCTTCCAAGATTATTGAAAAGCCATATCTATATTCAAAAAAGATGCTCAACTGGATAGACAGAGGCTCTTAATCTTCAGAAAATAAAAACATTTTATTAAAAAGACAAACAAACCTGAAAACCTACTTTACGTCTGAGGAATAGTATAACAAGGACTGCTAGCATCTAAAGACAACAATTTATTGCTTATTATTTAGCCTTATTTCAAGGAGACCTTTGAAGTTTATCTAAAGCAACTGACAAAGTAAGAGTTTGGTTGTTTTTGTTTGTTTGTTTTGTTTTTTCTCATAAACAGTATATGATGTAGCAACCTAAAATCTCAAAGTTTTCTATAAACATTACATGTATCTAGAAAGAAAATAATAACATTTGAGTGTGAATATATTTCATGAGAAATACAGTCAGCATTTTTTAAGTTGAAAATTACACTCATGTATTTGTACTCAGTAGACACATGAATAGACTTTCATTTAGAAATGGTCAAGAAATACACAATTAGTTAAAAATCCTATGAGAAAACCTACAGATAGTTTAAATTATTTTCTATGTGTTTAATTCTACAGCATTCAATAAAATTTACTTAAAACCCAAACCACTCTGCACATCCACAAAACTAGACTCATTCTTTCTAAAACCTAAGGTCTTTCAACAATAAATGCTATTGTTTATTTTCCACACGTGTAATGAAGCATAAACCATTTCTTAGAAGTTTTCTAAAATTCTGACACAAAGAGTAAAATACTCCCCAGGAAAAAAAAAAACGATACAAAAAACATATCATATAGTTTCAAAATCCCAAGCACAAATTTAAAATTCAATGTAAAATGTGCACTTGGTGACACAGCAAGCTAAAGAACTAAACATTCTTTGTTGTAATGCTGGACACAACCTGTGAAAATTTTCTGCATTTAGATTCGACAATGCTCTTATCTGCAGCTCATCTCCAGAGAGACAATTACCATTTCCTTTGCCTTGATCTTGTTTGTTTAACTTGACACAGTGAAGAAAGGGCTGACATTGACCAAAATCCCCAGCATTAATTTATTTCATGTTCAGCATTCATCATTGCCATGGTGCAAGCAAGACCTGGCATTCATTTGAAATACCTGCCCAAGAAGCACTGCAGAAAAATCCTGGCTGCTTGCAAACCGATACATTCTCCATAGGCTCAGACTCTATGGACAGCTACAAATAATGTATGGTTTGTTAACTTCCTTCTTTTAAGGAACTTTTAAGGAATTAAGTGTAGCAACCAGTTAGAAGTTGAAGTAACTAAACTTACTTACTTCATGGTTACAAAGAGTAAACAACTAAGCCTTTAAGTAAGGTGAAATTGGAAATGGAAATGTTTCAATTATATGGTGTTGACCTAAGAGTACAGGTTTCTCTCTCTGCTTTTCTGTTTTTTTTTTTTTTTTTTTTACAATGTGAGCATCTAATTATTATGTTCTTGAATGCATATGATTCTTAAATGAATAGGACTATAATTTTTAAAACTTCCTCCACTAAAAAATAACTTTTAAATTACAAATATTGGGTTGCCTCTTTTGAAGTAGGAAATGGTCCAAGAGTGATATTCCATAACGTATTTCTTGAAAAAGCATGATTATTACTCAACACTTCAAGCTATAATTAATTTGGATTTAATCTAAATTGTCCAACGTAACAGAATGTTTCTTGTAAAAGAAAGAATGGTGAGCCAGGAGGTGGTGTGGTGGTTAAGGTGCTGGACTCTCACATGGCTGACTGCAGTTCAAGTCCCAGACCTGGCAGCTTGCTTTCTCACTTTCCCTATCTCTTTGGGACCAGCAGATGGCATAATGGTTATGTTGCTGGACTCCTACATGGCTGACTGTAGTTTGAGTCCTGGACCCAGTAGCGTGAAACTCATGCTGGGTGCATGTGCATACAAGCCCAAAATCCTATGAGGAAAATGGAGGAGAAGGGATTGTGGTATGGCCTTCGCCCTGTAGGGGGTGATTTCTTACTTTCTATCTCTCTGTCTTTGTCTCTCCAACAAGTACATGTGCCCTATAGCAAAACAAAACAAAAAACAAACAAACAAAAAAACACAACTCCCCAAAAAAAAAAAAAAAAAGAAGAAGAACAAGAACATGCGTCAAGTCGATCCTTATCCTTCAGGGCAGACATGCGACCTTTGCTGACTTTGCACTTTCTTCTTTTTCAGGATGAAGTGACACCTGTGTAAACTCTTATTTTTTTTGGAGAGGTTTTTGCTATAGAGTGCATGCGCTCGCCGGACAGACAGACAGAGACAGAAAGCGAGAAATCACCCCCTGAGGGGATGGTCATGCTACAATCCCTTCTCCTCCATTCTTCTCTTGGGCAAGTACGCACACGCGCCCGGCGTGAGTTTTAAGCCACCGGGTCTGGGACACGAACCGTGGTCAACTACATGGGAGTCCAGTGACATAGACATTATGCTAACTGCTGGTCCCGACACCTATGTAAACTTAAAAATCCATTCTTGAATATCCATTTGTAATAATGACAGCCAAACGATAAAATCAAATACTGTGTATCTGTTTCCTGTCACCATGACTCACCTGTAAAAATTCATTGAGTTCAACCTGTCCATTTTTGTTCAAATCTACTTCATTCAGAATTTCGTGTAGTGTATTTTCATCCATTTGGACACTGATACTCTAAGTAAAAGAAAAGCACAGAGTCATGATGTTTAATGAAAAGTTATACATATCTTTTTACCAATGTTTAAAAAGTAAAACAAATACATTACTCATACAGAGCATTAAATGAGAAAAATTATCTAGTAACATCATCTTCTGCTATAAAACTGATATCAAAACACAAAAATTACCTCTAATACACGTTGAACATCAACAATCGTAATAAAGCCTTTCTGGTCTGCATCAAACTTATGAAATCTCTTCTTGTACCTGGAGCACAAAATTAAATGAAAGAAATACTTACAAGGGCAAAGAAAAAAAAGAGGAAAAAGCAAGAATGTATTAGACATCCCTGTCAATATCTGAAGGCAGTAGGCTGATTTCAGAGCGATCTGTTAACTGTTCTGATCGAGATTTATAGCCCATTTCATAATACAGAAACTTCCTGGCTGTTTCAAGTTCTTCCTGAAACAGACACACACACGAAATTTAATGATTGATGAAAATAATCATTATAATTAATTTTTTTTTTAGTCTTTGAAAAAGAAGCTGATCCTTAATCATCTCACCAGAATTTTTCACTTCTTCCAGTCTGTTTGTTTGTTTTGGTTTTGGTTTTAGGGTACATGTGCTCACCAAAGAGAGAGAGAGAAAGAGAGAGAGAGAGAGAGAAAGAGAGAGAGAGAGAGAGAGAAATCACTCCCCAGGGAATAGCCACACTGTAATCCCTCTCCTCCATTATCCCCTCAGGATTTGATCACACATACATACATGCCTAGCATGATTTTTTTTTTTTTGGAGAGGTTTTCACTATAAGGTGCATGCACTCGCTATCTCTCCATAAAGACAGAGAGACACAGAGAGACATAAAGCGAGAAATCACCCCCCAGGGGGGATGGTCATGCCGCAATCCCTTCTCCTCCATTCTCCTCTTGGGATCTTGGGCATGCATGCACACATGCCCGGTGTGAGTTTGAGCCACGGGTCCGGGACTCAAACCATGGTTGACTACATGGGAGTCCAGCGACATAGCCATTATGCCAACTGTTGGTCCCAGCCCAACATGATTACCAGTCGGGATTGAATTGGGAGTCAGCCATATGGCATTCAGCAGCCTTAATCTCCACACCACTTACTGGCCCATTTCTTCCAGTTTTAGTGAAATATAATTTACATTCAAAAAAAGTCTACTACCATGATCAAGATACAGAAATCACCCAGAAAAGCTTCTTCATGTTCAACTGTAGCTGATCTGTTCCCCAGACCTCTAGTTCCAAGCTACCAATGATCTGCTTTCTATTACCTGAGCTTGTCTTACCTGGAATCTCTAAAAGATGTTTCAAATAGGGTCAGTTCTGTAGTGCAGCAGTTAAATGCTGTATATAGGGAACTAGATCCCACATCATTGACTATGGTTCAAATCCTGGCCTCGGTGGCTTGAAGAACTACATTGAACATATGTGCATGCATGTCTAAAATCCTGACAGGATGGAGAAATTAGGAAAAGGTATTGTGGTGTGACTATGTCCTTGTGGGAGGGGTTCTCGTTCTCTCTCTCTCTCTCCCTCTCTCTCTCTCTCTCTCTCTCTTGCAAGGACTCATGCCCTCTACAATAAAAATTAAATAAAAATAAAGGATCAGTGAGTGGCATGGTGGTTAAGGCAGCTGGATCCTACATGCAAAGTTCAAGTCTCAGGCCCAGCAGCACGTGTGTCCAAAACCTCAAAAGGAGAAATGAAGAAAAGGTTCTAGCATAGGCATTCCCCCTGGGGGGAGCTTTCTCACTCTCTCTCTTTCTCTGAATCTCCTCAGAGAGTGAAAATGCCTTATAGTAAATTGAAAATAAATAAATAAAAATAAGATGTCTCATATAATACGTAGTCTTGTTGGACCACTTTCACACAGCATGATGATTCTGAGATTCACTCCTGTTGTATGCTTTAGTATTTTGTCTCTTTTTATTGCTGAGTATTCTTGAGTAACAAAGTCTCATTTGGTGACACAGACACACAAAAAAGTAAAAGTGAAGATACCAAAGCCAGGTGCAAGTAGCAGCACGTCCCTGTAATCTCAGCTCTTGAGACTGTGACAGGAGGAGCCCTCCCTCCCCCTTCCCCCACACACATACACACAAAGAAAGAAGAAGGAAGAGAAGAAAACGAAGGTATCAAGGAATGGCGGCAACTACGACGAAGTGCCGAGGCAGATATCATGAGATTAACTACTTTGAAATTTTGCTACTGGGATGGTGATTGTTTAGTGGAAGTTAGAGAGTTATGGGAAGAAATAAGCTATCTTCAACAGTTACCCTTCCTGTTCTCAATGTTTCCAGACTCAACTAATACTAACCATTGCTGAAACACTGTCTTTCTCAGTTTTCATCATGTCATTCTCCCCTTTAAGGACGTCCAAAATAACACTGTTGTAGTGTATATAGTTCTCAAATATCTCTTTCTTTCTATATATAAATCTGTACACAGACGTGCACACATGCATGCCTCTACACACATAAGGGAACATCAAAAGAGTTACAGAAAAATAGAATAAAAGTCGAGTTTATTTTGGCATGATAAAAATTGAAATCCATACATAGTACGTCCATAATATAAATTTTTCATGAATTTTGGAAGCCCACTTGTACATGTACACTTCGCCCTCACACATCTCAACTTCACTAGCGTGTGCTGGTCCTGTGACTTACTTTGGCCAATGGAAAATGAATGGACATGGTATTTGCGATTTTGGATTAAAGGCTTTCAAAGTAACTATAGGGCCAGCCAGTGGTATGGTGGTTAAGGCAACTGGATCCCACAAGACCAACTTCTCGGTCCTGGTGGACTGAAAAACATGCCAAACACTTGTACATGTGTGCCCAGAAATCCTGAGAAGGGAAGAGAGATAAAGGGATTGTGGTGTGGGGAGTGATTTCTCACTTTCCTTCATTGTCTCTGTCTCTCTCTCTGCCTCTGAAGAGTGCACATACCTTATAGCAAACTAAAAAAAAAAAAAAAAAGAGAGAAAAAATAACTCTATAGTTTTGTTTAGCCTCTCTTACTCCTGTGACACAAAATATGACCCCAACATGGACTATGAAGAAAAACTACAGCAGCTAACATGTAGCCTTCATGTAATATGAATGAAAAATAGATGCTTGCTAGGATAAGCCACTAAGATTTTGAAATTGATTGTTACACAGTATAACCCATCAAAAACTAAAATAAGCATTAGTATCCTCCCCTCAATGGGGAGAAACAGTGCCATCAGTGATTCCTAAACCCTGGTTTAAAGACAGTGCAAGTACAAAATGAAATAAAAAAAAGAAAAAACAATGGCATGTTCAACTGTTTGAAATGTGTTTACATGTTTCCTATTGTCAATAATAAGACTTCTTACTCTTTTTTATTTGGGAAGACAAACTTTTTTCTGGTACTATTCTTTTCCTACTTTTTTTCTGTTAGAAAATAATTACAAAAAATGTTCTTCCTTAATGTTCTTGCATAGCTAAATAAAAAGTTATCAATACTTGGGACCAGCAGGTGGCGTGGTGGTTAAGGTGCTGGACACTCCCTCATGGCTGACCACGGTTCAAGTCCTAGACCTGGTAGCTTGCTTTCTCACTTTCTCTCTCTCTTTCTCTCTCTCTCTCTCTCTCTCTCTCTCTCTCTCTCTCTCTGTCTCTCTCTCTCTGGTCAAATTAAAACAAATGAATGAATAAATAAAATTAAATAGAATAAATCTTAAAAAAAAAAGTTATCAATACCAAGTAATTCTCTCAGCCTAAAACATAAATTTCAAAATGTGTGTATATATGTGTATGTGCACACATGTGTGTATAAATACACACACATATATAATACATAAAACTTATCTATGAAGTCTTCATCTCTATGGACATTCTTCACAGGCAGGTTTCTCTCTTCATACCCAAGAAAACCCATCAGTTTTCATAAACAAAATTATGTTGCTGTTCCATCAGTTCTCTCTAGCCATATTCTACAAGGCTGATTCAAAATTTATCTCTGTAGAAATGCCATCTCTGATGTTACCCTCCAAAAACCCTCCCCAATTTCCTATGTAATTTATCCAAACTCCATCAGGCAAAGAACCATAGCTTTTAAAAGCTGGAGGAGACTTTTTTTTTCCCTAAAGGTTACCCAGTGTCCCTCCCTAACTCCCACTGCCTTTATAACATTCCAAAAATGAAAGAAGTTTCTATCTAAAGGACTCCAACAATAGAGATGAACTTTCTTTTTTTTTTAAGAGAGATTTTTCTTATGGGGTGTGTGTACCTGCTGGAGAGACAGACAGATAGTAGCGAGAAATCAACCCCCAGGGAGGATGGCCATACCACAATCCTTTCTCTTCTATTCTCCTCTTGGTATTTTGGGCACACACACACGCACCTGGTGTGAGTTTCAAGCCTTCAGGTCCAGTACTGGAAGCGTGATCTGCCATGTGGGAGTCCAGTGATGTAACCATTATGCCATCTCCTGGTCCCTGGGAGGTACTATTAATACCAGTGAATGCACCCCATAAAGGGATGGCTCCAGTTGTTAAAAAGTTTTATGGTGAGATTAAATCCATCTCCTTGCAATTCTTCCAATTGGGAGGGCCTAATTTTTCTACAGTACAACAAACCTGATTTTTTCCCCTATCACAGCGTAAGTACTTAAAGACAGATGTGCTGTCTGTCCTCCTTAAGAATTTTCTTTTAGTCTACAGAGCTGCATAATACACGATTTCAAATCCCTATACCATAATTTTTTCCAGACCACAACTGCTGTCATAAACCACGCTTAGCAGAACAAAGCACAGTACTCCATTAGAGATTTGGCAGTGCTGAGAAGGGTGTAACTATTAGCTTCATCAAGTTAGATATGTGATTTCTATATTGCAGCTTAGGATTGTGACGGGATTTGGGGGTGGCCATGTCAACTACTATGAATTCAAAGTTAGCTAAAACCATATTCCTTCTTCCATGTGCTACTGTTAAGCCATGCTAAATTTATCATGAATGAATGGAGCTGTTTTTCTACCTCATGTAAGGTTTGTCACTTATCTCTATTAAATTATACCTAATGAAACTTCACCCATTATTTCAAACATTTGCTCTCCTTCTGTTCCTTGTAATTGGTACACCAAAAACGTTTGCCATCAACATTGCAATTTGGTGGCCAGCAGGTGGCATAGTGGTTAAGGCACTGAACTCCCACATAATAAAGCACAGTTCAAGTCCTGGACTTGGCAGCCTGCTTTTCCACTGAGGTTGACCATGTGGTAGCCCAGCGCTTAGTCATTACACCACCTGCTGGCCCCTTGCCACAATATTTTAAAGATCAACAGTAGTTAAACAATCTCAACTACAAATGTTCTGAGTACCCTGAGGTATAATTTTCTGGGCATGTATAAAATCATTCAGAGTAGCATCTTATTTGAATATCCGTTTCCACTTAACAATAGTTAGT